AGGACCCAGGTGCGCTAGGCACTGTACACACACATTGTGAAAGATAGCACCTGCCCCAAAGAGCTGAACTGCCTAAATAGACAAAGGGTGGAAGTGGAAAAAGATGCGCGCGCACACAGGCAAAAGTTACTTGCCTGAAGCCACCGGGAACAGGTCCCAGGTCTCCTGAGTCTCGTTCCAGTGCCGAATCCACTGGCTATCCTGCCTAAATAGAAACTGTTTCTTGTCCCACCCCCAGTCCAAGATGCAGGATTGCCAGCTGCAGCTGGATGTGAAATTGCAGGAGGTGAATAAGCACATCTCTGCCAAGGAGAAAAGGCCCAAGGAACTGAGGGTGAGTGGGGTCAGAGAATCCCTAGGAGTGGGGATAGGAGACCTTTCAGCTTGCGGGGTACTGGCTCCAATCTGCCCCCTGGCTGGGAGACTGGCTGGCTTAAGGTGTGGGTGGGTAATTGAAGAGGGGAGGGCTTTGCTCTCCCTGGGTCCTGGCTCCGATGCAGACCCAGGTCAAGGAATGTTCTCCACTGATCTCCTGCTATTTGTCTCCCCTGCCGATAGGAGTTGGTGAAGAGCTGCCACCAGCGCATCTGTGAGTTCAAGGAGTTGTGCTGCCTACTGGAGGAGGAGAAGGAGATGCAGCTGCAGCGTCTGAAAGCAGAGGAGGCAGAGATCCTGGAGAAGCTGAAGGACCACATGGCCCTGCTCTCAGAGAAGCTCCTCTCCCTCAGCAAACTCATCACTGACATGGGGGAGAAGTGTCTGGAATTGGGTCCAGAAATGCTGAAGGTCAGTGGGGGGTCTAGCAGTTAGAGCAGGGGGCAGAGAATATCAACTCCTGGGTTCTCTCCCAGCTCTGTGAGGAGAGTGGGGCCTGGAGATCAAGGGAGGAGTCTGGAGTCCAGAGTTCTATCTCTGGCAGGGCAATGGGGTCGAATGGGTTAGAACAGGTAGTCAGGACTCCTGCATTCTTTAACCTTTTTATTTCAGGTCAGAAGCCAACCTTGAACTGCATGAGACTGAGGGTTGACCTACACTTAAAACTTAGGTTGACTTAATTATGGCCTCAGGGGTATGAAAAAATCCACATCCTGGAGCACCACAGCTATGCTGACCTAGACCCACAGTGTAGACATGGCTAGATCAATGGAAGCATTCTTCTGTTTGACCTAGCTACCTTCACTTGGAGAGTTGGAGTTACTACAGTGAAGGAAGAACCCATTCCATTGCTGTAGTGTGTGTCTACACTACAGGGTTACAGTGGCACAGCTGTGGCACCGTAGGTATGCTGCTGTGAGCACTGTAGTGTAGACAAGCCCTAAGGAGTAACTTCTCCCTATGGTCAATTATGGAATTGAACCAGTAGAGGGTAGTTCGTCCCTTTCTGTGAAGCAGCTGGTGCAGGCCAGCACTGGAGGCTAGATGGCCCTGGAAAATCCTGTTAATACAGGATTGCTGGGTTCCAAAGTTCATGTGGGACACTATTGGATATCATTCAGAGGGAACTTCCATCCTGTGTGTCTGGTCTTGTAGTTAATGCAGGAAAATGGGACTGGAAAGAACTGGGTTCAAGTCTCAGTTTGGCCACAGGGTCCCTCTGTGACCTTGGTCTCTGGCTCAGTTCCCTGTGTGTTAAATAAAATTCATTATGTACCTATTTAGATTGAGCCCTTCAGGGCAGGGACCACGTCTCTATGTATAAATGCAGCACTCAGCATAATGGGACCCGATCTCGGTTGAGTTCTTTAGGCCTTAACATAATATACCTAAGAATTAACCTTCTTCTTACTTGATGGCTTAGGAATGTGGGGGAACCAGCCAGCCAGGAATTCCTCATAGATTTTAAGGCTAGAAGGGACCATTCTGATCATCTAGTCTGACCTCCTGCATATCACAGGCCACAGAATCTCACCCACCCCATCCTGTGACAGACCCAGAACCTTTGGCTGAGTTACTGACGTCCTCAAATCATGCTTTAAAAACATCAAGTTATAGAGAATCCACCGTCTACTCTAGTTGAAATGAAGGTGAACTCCCCCCACCCACACCCCAAGGTCGCTGCCAATCTGACCTGGGGACAAATTCCTGTTCAACCCCAAATATGGGAATCAGACCCCGAGCAGGTGAGTGAGACCCACCAACCAGAAACCTGGGAAAGAATTCTCTGTAGTAACTCAGAGCCCTCCCCATCTAGTGTCCCGTCTCTGGCCATTGGAGATATTTGCTAATAGCAGTGGCAGATGGGCCATATGCCATTGTAGGCAACCTCACCATACCATCCCCTTCATAAACTGATCAAGCTCAGTCTTGAGTCAAATTAGGTTGGTTTTTTTTGTTTTGTTTTTTTGCCCCCACTATTCCTCTTAGACAGCTGTTCCAGAACTTCACTCCTCCGATTGTTAGAATCCTTTGTCTAATTTCAAGCCTAAACTTGTTGATGGCCAGTTTATATCCATTTGTTCTTGTGTTCACACTGGTGCTTAACTTAACTCCTCTCCCTATAATTATCCCTATATTGTATTTATAAAGAGCAATTCTATCTCCTCTCAGCCTTCATTTGGTTAGGCTAAATAAGCCAAGCTCCTTACATCTCTCGTAAGGCAGATTCTCCATTCCTCTGGTCATCCCTAGTAGCCCTTCTCTGCACCTGTCCCAGTTTAAATTCATCTTTTTTTAAACATGGGAGACCAGAATTGCACATGATATTCCAGATGAGGTCTTGCTATTGTCTTGCCCAAAGACACTAACACTTCCCTCTCTCTACTGGAAATGCCTCACCTGATGCATCCTAGGACTGCATTAGCCTTTGTCATGTCTGCATCCTCAAACCCAGCAGAGAGGAATTTGAGGTTGACAGTACTAAAGGAGGTGTGGTTACTGAGGGGAAGAAAAGTGGCTCTGTGCTTAGGTCATTACTTTAGGATGTCAGAAACTCGGGGTCAAATCCCTGCTCCACTGCAGTTTTACTGTCTGATCTTGGGCAACTCACCTGGCCTCTCTACCTCCACTTCTCCTCTGTTAAATGGAGTTAATAGCATTGCCCTTCCTCATTGGAGTGTTGTGAGGATAAATATATGAAAGATTGTGTGGTGCTCATATTACAGTGTGGGGGTGTCATAAACATACAGCTACGGATAGCATAAAATCCCTCCTTTACCTGTAAGGGTTAAGAAGCTCAAATAACCTGATGGGCACCTGATCAAAAGGACCAATGAGGGAAGAAGATCCTTTCAAATCTGTTGGGGGAGGTTTTTTGTTTGTGGTCTCTTTGTTGTTCTCTCTCAGACAGAGAGGGACCAGGGTAGGAAAAAAAATCTCCTAAAACCCTACCTGAAATAAGCATCTAAGAGTATAAAAATTGTAAGTAATTGCAAGGAAATGCGCTAGATTATCTTTTGTTTTAGTTTGTGAATTATCCCTATGCTAAGAGGCAATTTTATTCCTGTTTTGTAACTGGGAAGCAGAATCAGAGGGGAATCCTCTGGGTTTTAAATCTTTTTATTTACCCTGTAAAGTTATCTTCCATCCTGCTTTTGCAGGTGTAATTCTTTTATCTTTTTTTTAAAATAAAATTCTTCTTCTAAGAACCTGATTGATTTTCAATGTCCTAAAAATCAGGGATTTGGTCTGGGCTCACTTTGTTAACCTAACGGTTGGTGTATTATTCTCTAGCCTCCCCAGGAAAGGGGGTGAAGGGGCTTGGGGGGGATATTTGGGGGGGGGGAATAGGGCTCCAAGTGGCCCCTCCCTGAATGTTTGTTTAAATCACTTGGTGGTGGCAGCAATACCATCCAAGGACAAGGAAATTAATTTGTGCCTTGGGGAAGTTTTAACCTAAACTGGTGAAATATAAGCTTAGGGGGTCGTTCATGCAGGTCCCCACATCTGTACCTCAGAGTTCAGAGTGGGCAGGGAACCCTGACAGGGGGCCATGGAAGTACCTAAGAGCAACATTGGAAGACAAGAAGCACACTCTAGTGAATTAAGAAATCTGCTGCTTGCAATGGAAAGTGCCCTAACCACTGGATTATACTTCCCTTCCTGAGTCCAAGTATATTAACCCCAAGGAATGTGTAGGGGGTGTTCAGGGCAGGACTCAATGTATTTATCAGAAATAATCAGTCACTATATTTTGGAGGGAAACACGAACACTGTATGATATGTTCATTTGCAGATTATTCAGCCACTAGCTTTTGCTGTCTGCTTAGGGATCCATATGAGTTCATGATAGAGAAGAGAGAACAAGCTGGGACTCCAGCTGTGTGGATTCAGGGATGTTGTGGGACTAAACCATAGAACTTGCTTTAAATTTACCCCTCCTCCTTCCTTCTAGGATGTGCAGAGCATCATGCAGCGGTGAGTTCCATCCTCTCCTGGCTATGAAGTGGTGTTTAAAGATGCTGTGATTCTAGAGTGATTCAGAAGGGAGCACTTTTCCATTGGCGTCAATACTGATTCCATTGTCCCAGCAAGGTGCCAGAGGACTGCAGTGTTTTCCTCACTGGACCACAGCACTAGCAAGTGCTCTATTGCAGGGTGCAGTATGGGAGGCTCAGTAGGGAATGCTCTCCTCTCTGGATCAATACAGACCCCAGTGGCCCAGCACAGCACTGGAGCTAGATCCTCCAATTTTAGATGTTATGAAAGGATTCTGACTCCTCATGGTCACTGAAGAACCCCTGCCTCTTCTCCCTCCAGCCCCCAGATTTGGGGCATTGATCCTGGTGTCCTGGTTCAATTCCTGGCAATTCTATCCTTCCTCCCCTCAAATGCCCCCTGTGGTTTCAATTATATATGGGATTCCCCTTCACTTTGTGGCCTATTCTGCAGCAATTGCTCTGCTGATGTTAATCAGCTGCCAGGCTCCACCCCAGAAGCAGCTGCATGTCAGCTCTGGGTGAATAATTTCTGTTAAACATAGGCTGTAAAGTTCACTGCTGTAATAATATGACATTCATTTTCCTCAGGTATGAAATATCTAAGATCCTAGAGCTGCCTTCAATTTCTCTTGAGCTAAAGAAGACAATGGCATTTTTCCCACGGCAGTTCTTCACACTTACTAAATTGCTGAGGAAATACAGTGGTAGATAAATAACTAAGATATATTCAGCCCTGGGCGTTGGGATTCATGAGTTCTATTCCCATCTCTAGGAGGGGAGTAGGGTCTCGTTGGTTAGAGCAGGGGGGCTGGAAGTCAGGACTCCTGGATTCTATTTCTAGCTCTGGGAAGTAGGATGCTGCATACTGAGTGTTTTGTGCTGGCCATGGGTATGGATGGGGATACAGGGGTGTGACTCAGTCACTGCGTTTATCCTGTAGGGTGACTGCATGCTGCTCCAGCTTCTTGTGGGCCAGGCATGTTCCCACTGGCATTAATTGGCCCCCTCGCTGGTGCACCCTCTGCAGGGAGGCCAAGGGCTGACTGAGCCATGGAGGCAGTCTTTCTCTGCCTCTTAAAGGATGTTCTCTGCAGATGGATTGCTAAGGCAGACTGGTAGGGGGTGCTGCTCGTGTGTATGGGGGAGCCTCTGGAGACTAAATGTCTTTATTCCCCAACTGATCTCCCTCTTGTTGCTCCTAGACTCTATTCTAAATGTCTCTCTCTCTCTCACACACACCACACACTAACACCCCCCCCCCCCGCAACATCTAGCCCTCTGTTAAGCCCCCCCCTTTTTTGAGGTTACCGTGGGGGCAGGGAGGTGCTAGGCACCTGTTGGCCCCCCCCACTTTTATGTGGGGGTAGATGAGCAATGGGTCTTCTTTTCCCCACCTCTTCTGTCTAGGGGACATGACCCTGGATCCTGAGACGGCTCATCCCAACCTTGTACTCTCAAAGAACCTCAAGAGTGTGCACTTCATCAATGTCTCCCAGGTGCTTCCCGACACCCCACGGCGCTTCATCATCTACCCCTGTGTGCTGGGCTCAGCTGCCTACATCTCAGGCCGGCACTACTGGGAGGTGGATGTGGGCAACAAGACCCAGTGGGCCCTGGGTGTCTGTTATGAGTCAGTCAGCCGCAAGGCCAAGATCGACGCCAAGCCAGACACTGGCTACTGGCGAGTGCGGCTGTGGAATGGGAAGTATGCGGCCACCACTACTCCCTTCACACTGCTGCGCCTGCGCGTCAAACCCAAGCGGGTCGGGGTGTTCCTGGACTATGAGGCAGGGAAGGTCTCCTTCTATAATGTGACAGACCATTCCCACATCTACACCTTCAGCGTTGAGTTTGCTGAGCCTGTCTGTCCTCTCTTCTACCCAGGGATCCGCTTCGGGCATGTTAACGCTGCCCCCCTTGTAATCTGCCAGCCCTTGGACTGGGACTAAGCTGTGTCCTCTCCCTTCTCTTCCTCCACCAGCCCTTGGCCTGGAAGTGACTGTCACCAGCACCAGCAGCCAGACCCCAATTTGACATAAGAGCCTTTTCATATCCCACTCCTGACCTTATAAATGACACCCATGTGCCCTAAACCCTTTTTGTCTCTGGCCCCCTACAGTGCTATAATCAGACCCCCAGGGGCAGTGATGCTGGCCTTGCTTTGATGGGCATGTTCAATCTTCTTTGTGTTCCCCTCCCTGTTGGCAGATCAAAGCTGACCCAACTACCCAAGTTACACCCACTTTCCGATACCACTGATCATAAAAACCAAGATTTTCCCAAGAGTGTCTTTTGTGCTTTAGCAGAAACTCTGCTACATAGGCCATTCCCCTCTCTCCCCTGTAGTATATTATTTCCTCCAAGACCTATCTCAAGCGCTGTGCAAGTTAAACAGCAACTGTGGGGAGGGGAGATCAGTAAATGTTGGAGGTAGCACTTTGGTTTGGACTCAACTGATCGAGGTTGAGAGATGGGTTCTGAGCTCTTAACTCCTGTGCTACAGCCTGTTTTGTCTTTCTGTCTGTTCGTTTGTAATTTAAGTCTAGTCATAACTGGTGCTCATTGTCTGTTGCACTGAGATATGTTTCTTGTTATGTCTGGTGGTTTTGCAATAAAATTATTTTGGGTTTTGGAAACCAACATCTCTGCCCTCATTGGTTGACCTGTGCTTAATTCTTTGGGGCCGCAGCGCTGTAGATGAGTAATTCTTAACCTCTTCCACACTTGGAAATCACCCACACTCTTCTATGTAGCAACATAGGGAGTTGTGACCTGTCCTAGTTGGTTGAGACCCCCAAGTTAGAAATCCTTGTTGTATGATGTTCCTGTAATGTTTGTCTAGATAGTCATTTCATTGCTTCACTTACCGTCTACTGAATAGGATCATGTGCTTACCTGTGTCATGGGCACTATATTACTAAGCACATAAAAGCAATTCCCCTTTACTGAAGCAAGCACCTTGTTTGGTGCAGGAGAAGCTGAGGGATGAGTTAACATGTTTGCCCTTTATACACCTCTTTCCAGCAGCAGATCTCAAAGTGCTCTACAAAGGGAGAAATGGAGAGGCGGGGTTGGAAGGGACTTGTCTGATGTCAAATAGTGATTTGGGGTAGAAAACAGGATAGACGTACCAAATGTTCTGACTCCTAGTCCTGGACTTTGATTGGCCAGCATGTCTCTGAGCTGAAAATAGGATTTGGGAATCCTGACTCCCATTCCCATCCCTTCCTGCTCTAATCACTTCCTACCACAGACAGTTCTTGAACCTAATATTTGACTCCCAGTGTCTCCTCCCACCCCACCCCAGTTCTAACTACTCTTCAGAGCTTGGAATAGAACTCAGGAGTTCTGACTGCTGGTCCCCCTGCCTAATGTAATCATCTCTCAAAACTGGGAATAAAACCAAAACCCATGACTCTCTCTGGCTCAAGTAATTGTCAATTTAACTTTTACACTAAATAGCTTTAAAAATATTGCTTCCTTTATGGGGTGGTAGACACTAGCTGAGGTCCATTCCAAATGGATGATACCAGCTTAGGAAGAATCAGGATCTTTTTCTGTTTTTTCCCCTCTTAATAATTATCTGGCCAATAATTATCTGGCTCATTGCTGCTGGAATTGTTTTGCAAAGAAATAGTTTTTGCATTTTGTCCTGTAGACATTCTTGGGTTCAGTATGATTGCTTGAGGAGTTCGACAAGCAAGGCCTACTGCTCAGGGTGCATTGTTCTTGGTCTCTTGGAGCACCTGCTGGGATCTGTATGTCTCTGAGCAATCTGGTTATAGTATTCGTGTGCAGAGCAGTTGCTTTGAAATGGTCACAGATGGAGGAAAGGCATTCTCTCAAGTAGACCACAATTACTTTAGTAGTAAATATAATAAATGACAGATATACAGAAAAAGATATTGACCAATTTCCTTTTCCTGATGGGTCATGCTGGATTTCTCTTACAAGCTCTGCGTATCCCTCACATATTTTATCAACCATGCTAATTACATATTCATTACTTCTCTTCCAAGGATCATTAAGTGCTGGGAATATTGCATATCTTTTGTAACTTATGCAATATGCATATGCAAACCTTGTTTTGAAATACTGTTTCGCTGTTTCTGCTAATTTCATGTTGTTCTCTTTTCTGATGGGTCTATTATCACTGATTACACACTTTGTGCATATTTTGGCCTGGTCACCTTGACCTAATACTCCACATAAGGACTTTAGGCAATCAGAAATTCTTCTCTCTTAAATTGTCTTTGGCAGCACATTTTTGTCAGTTTGTCTTCAGTTTAACTGTACATTGTACAAACTGTACAAACATTTCTTTCCACCCTGCTATAAAGGTCATAAAGCTTATCCAATAACAAAGTGAATTAAAGCAGAGCTTTACCTCCATCATGCATGCTAAGCCAAAGTCAGCATCACTTGTCTGAACTTATGCATCAGACTTGTACCAATTTTCCATAACTAGGAATTTGAAGTGGGTTGGGAATTAGGAATTGGGTCTCCTTATGCAGAGTTGGTAAGAAATATTTACAGGGTCAAGATTTCAAAAATTGGGTGCCTAAAGTTAGGCCCCTAAACTAATATTTAGACAGTTTGAGAGGGAGAGTTTCAAAGGTTCAAATGGTAGTTAGGCACCCAACTTCCACTGACTTTCAATTAGCTCTGTTTTCAAAAATGCTGAGCACCAAGAAGCTTCTATTGACATCAAAAGGAGATTTTGGGTGCTCAGCAGTCTTGGAGATACATATTTAGGCCCAAAGATGAATTTAGCAGCCCAACTCAAGGCACCCATTTTTGAAGATCTTAACCCTAGGACCTGGTTTTCAATGAGTTGCACTTTTGAAAATCAGGCCAGCAGTATTATAAAAATATTACCAAACCCTTCTAAACCTGACCAAAGATCATATGACAATATAGACTGAAGCTAATAAAAAAATGGAGTACCATTCTGTGGGAATTTCTGAAATTTCAATTTGTTTTCATCCTTTTTTTTTTTTTAAATTTGGAAATTATTGTATGAAATGTGACATGTTGACTTTCACAACTGGAAAAGTTTCATCTTGGATTGTTGAGGTAAATTGAAATGTTTCTCTTTAGGTCAGCTCAGAATTCATCTACATCTGCTTGAGTAGCTGCAGTGCCTTCTGGGAGTTGTAGTTCTGTGTCTCATGCCCCC